ACATATACATATACATATACATATACATATACATATACATATACATATACATATACATATATATATATATATCACAACCCCTGGTATGCCCAAATATGGGAGGAAGGTCACACTTCCATTCTCTGTCCTTCGGCTCGTCACAAGAGACCATCCAGACAGAAACCCAATATTTCCAATGTAGAGCTGAGTGGATGACAGCTTGAAAGAAACAATTATTAACTAGCTCAGGTTTTATTTCAGTTGGCAAAAGTTTTCATGTGATCATGAATAAAAACAAAAGCAAAACACTAAAACAATACTACTATCCTGTTTAAATGAAGCTGAACCAAATTATACCACAAGTACCTATGTAAAGAGTTATGAAGATGAAGATGATGCCTAGGAAACAATCAGACGATGGAGGCTGGAACCCTAAATGATCATGTAGTTAAGGCTTGTAGGATGATGTTAATTCTAAAGTAGAATTAATTCATCTTGTGTTTCCTGTCTGGTTTAGTGGCTGACATCAGTTTTGCAAGGCTGAAGATACAAACTTCCTGCCTCCATTTTTAACAACTTGATCTCTTGGGGAGGATTTTCCTAAGTTTTTGTCTCTGAACTTTTAGCAAGTGGGGGCTCTTGCCTGTCTTTTTCCTTCTGTCTTTTCCCAAAGTCATTCATACATTCCATCACATTGTGATACTGAACTGCTGATACAAATTTGAGATGAGCTTTCTGTAGTAAAAGCACCACATCACTATTAATTGAATATTTCCAATGGGCGTCATCCAGATTTTAGAGGCTGAATTTTAGTGGGGGAAAGTTCAACAAGGGGGCTCAAGTTGTTATGAATTACAATTCTTTGAAGTTTAAAGGAGGACTGCAGCAGGGGCTCAACCCTCACTCTTATCCTACAGTTCGGAAGAATACTAGATATTCAATAACATTCTGAAAATCATCAGAATTGGAGCCATTCTAATCTTTGCAGTGGGGAGTATCAGGAACCACAACAGAGAAGGTATACTTCCTGAATCTCACAAGATGACACTGCTTGATCAGCTGGTCATGGAGCACACCCACTTTGCCCAATTGCAACAGATGTATAAACAATCAGAACAGGCAGTCCCTCACTCACCCATTGTGTATCAATTTCCCCTGAAACAGGTTATATCAGCTATTCTGTATTATATTAATGACTGGACAATTTTCACCAAAAATAATATGGGAAGAGACCTACGTAGAAGTATCTGTCTACAACTAGTCATAAGACATTAGGCAATTAAAAACCAGGCACAAGGAGTATTTTCCCCTTATTTATTGCCTTTTCCCCATCTCTCCAGCCATAAGATAGGCATTTGGGGTCATTTTATTCCTTGACCAGTGTCATTTTTTAAAGTTGCAATCTCTACACTACAATGACAGACCTGAAATTGGCTGCAGGTTTGGGTTATTTATCAGTTCCAGTCAAATTCCAGTCTAACAAGTTTATTGTTTCCCACCAAGTTCTTTTGGATTTGATGAAGCTTTGAACAGACTTGATAAACATGACAGAGAAAGTATTATTGATGAGAGACTGGTTTGATGAGAAGAACAAAATCTTTGCAGGCTGATAGCTACTGAGATCTTCAGTTTGAAGCAATAAGCACATTGTTGTTTAAATTTGGCATACACAAAGGAAGAGTTGCTGTGAGTTGGAAAGTCATAGAGAAACAGATTAGATACAAACAAATACACACTGTGTGAAATTCATAAAACAATGAAACCCTTGTTAGATAAATCTGTAAGGATTCAAGAAAGAATCTAAAGTGATTCTGGTAATACCTTCTAAATCAGCCACT